GTTCCTGGCACCTAGAAAAACCCCACTCAATGGTCATTGGATTGACTAGTGTTTCCATTCAAAATAAGAGAGGGCAGGACGTGGATGGGGGCATGAAGGCCACTGACAACACTAAAATGGTAAAACAAAATTTCTGCCAAGAAATAGACTAACTTTTCTGGAGAAAAAATCTCTCTTTTCTAGAGAGAGAATTTTCTTAGCTAGCAGGGGATAGATTTGTTGAAGTTACATCTTCCTGTGTGTGAACTGCCCCAATTAATGTAGCTCAGAATCACAGAACAAATGAAAAATATATAGTGAAATTGATCTCCTTTATTTGAAACTTAAAATGCGTTTGTGGAAGTAAAGCAAGCAAAAGGCTTGAGCAAAGCTGTATATTTTATACCGAAGGGCGCACATGCTGACCTCCTGACGTTTCTGCTAGAGATGCTTCTGACTTCCATATGAAGCTCTCTATAACCCAGCTCCTGCCCTGGAACCTCACCCCGTTCCTTCACAGAAAATGTCATCTAATCATCATCTGTCCTTTTCGATTATCTAGCTATCTACCTCAGGCCTTAGTGCCTTCCAAGCCCTCTCCTCCAAATACTTCCAAAGATTGTTTTATGTTTTCAAATAAAGCACTTTTAACATTCATGAAATCAAGTTAGGAATTATATATATGCTTTCCTTTCAGCAAGCAACAATTTCCAAACAAAATTCAATATATAATTACTTCTGCTTTGTAAATATAGAAGGAATAATAAATTGAGATATTTTTCATGAAATACCAAGTCAAAATTTACATGCATGCAATCTTATTTTTATTTGCTCAGATCACTACCAACCCTAGTTCAAAAATATCCCTGCTTATTTTTGGACCTGTGTCTTATTATTTTCAAATAAATGAAACAATGGGAAAGTTGACTTACTAATTAAAAACTAAATTAGGACCCAACCATTTAAGGAAGCAGAGACTGAACCACATAAGCAAGTAGAACTAAAAATCAGCACACAATTCTCGTTACAAAGTTATAATTGTGCATTACACGCCAGTATTTTTCCGTTGCACATACTTTTGTGAGGCTGAAATATTCTCTCTCGATAAATTTAATGATGTTTAAGTCAAGGAAGTATAGTAATGCCAGCATCATCTCCTGACACTGCTGGGAATATTGCTGCCTCTAATTAACAAGAGAGGGTTAAACTCCAGGCACTTGCCCTGGTGGGAAGTGAGACCTCTAGTTTTGCATGAATGAATGTAACTTAATTTGTTGCTTCTTTTAGCACTCCCAGCTATCAGTTGTGTTATCTAACAGTGAAATATCACCCCTTCTTTAGAGAGAGAGAGAGAGAACAAGTAAGTCAATGCTTTTTAATGTGAACCTGCGGGGGGCGGGGGGGAGTGGTGACAATGACATCTGACCAGTCCATGTGAATGTTGGCAGTGAGCTCAGAGCTCTGACAAATAGCAACTAATGTAAAAAATAAGCACATTTTTGTGAAGGTATGCTTGTAAAAACTCCCTGTCCTCTTTACCTTTACATGAGTGGTGCTTTAGCACAAGGTGGCAGCTTCTTCTGCAGAGGATACCAGCGATCTGGACTAGGCCCCAAGGGTGCAGGGGCTGAGGGGGAGGGGAGAATAGGCATCACCTCCAGTCTAGCAAGAGGGACTGCGACGGAATTACAGCTTGTAAAATAAGCCTCCATCAGTCTCCCAGGAGACAGCCGGCCTCAACTTGGGTGTTCCCTGCTTGTTAGCCTCAGTCATAATTGGTCTCTCCTCCCATCCCACGTTGTTGGTTTTCTGTGTGTGGCTTTTGGTGTGAGCGTGTTAGGTCATCAACAAATACAATAGCGGGAGGGGGCAACTGGGGACACACATGATTGTTTTAGAGAAGAAAGGAGAAAAGGGATAAGAGAGTGGGCAGGAAGGCTGTGAACAGAATGGGGAAGATGGCCCAGGATTTAGGCTTCCGAGGCACCCCCTGGAGTGCTCCAGGGTAGGGAACTCCCTGGGAGTTTTGTTAAAGGGAGAAGAGGCCTGCTGGGAGCTGGAGACCCTGCTGAGATCCGCTGAGGACATTCATCCATTCTACCCTATTTTTGTTTGCTTGTCTCTGGGGGTGCCTGTAACATCCTGCCCACATCCGGTGCCTCTCATCAAAAAAGAATTTTTCAAAAAATCCCAATCAGGATGATTTGCTCTAGAAAGGCTGCGTGTGTGGAGCTGAAGACCGAAAGAACAGCCCAGCACCCTGGTGGGGGTGGGGTGCGGGTCACAGGCCTTCATCCTTTTTCCATCCATTGTTAAAATAGATTCTCACTATCTTTCTCCACCCCCATCTCCTTTTACCTCTTCTCAGAGGAAAGCCCGTCCTGGGGATGGAGGCTACAGTAAATTTCTGATCTAAAGTTAGCTCTAAAGCCTAGAGTGGAGATGTCTTCGCATTTAAGGAAGGCTGAAGATACAGTGCATTGTTTTCGCTCAGAAGGGGACAGATAAAGCTAAGATCCCTAGACCCTTGAATCTTTATTTAATGTAAAAAGAACATTTGACCAGGGAAGGAAACAGCAAGAAGTGTAATTAAGTCAAGTTGCAAACTTTGGGGATTGATTATTTTTTTCTGTTTGTGTGTTTTAACGTTTTACATTTTACTCCACAACCCCTGGCTGGCCTGGTTGCCATGGTGCCGCCGCCAGGGTTGGTGTCCATGCTGTCCCCCACCCAGCAAAGGATTTCAGGTCTGAAACCTTGTTCTTTTGCTACAGCAGGGACAACAAACTAGAGCTAATGGCACTAGGGTGTGCGTGGGAGTGGAGGTGGTCTATTCTGTATGGCAGGACTTGATGTGTACTACTTTGCCGACATTAGCCAGAACCAACTGCTTGCAACTCCAGGTTCGCGGTGTTTGGGAGGAAAATGTTTCCTTTCCTGCCTTCTCTTGCAGGGTGAAGGTGCATAGTCAGAAAAGGCCTTACTGCTTTTTTGAAACATTAACTGGTGTCTGCACATTCCAAATCTCATCTCGGGCTACCCCTCCCTCCAAGCCAGGGCCACCTCCAGACCCCCGGATGTGTAGAAGCATGCACTGCCCGGAAGAAAACGTGTTGCCCCCAGGTAACTTCAGGTACCTCCTCGGGCTAACGTCTCCTCCTTTGCCCTATTGAGCCTTATCTCTTGCTTCTCCTCGCCCCACTCCCACATTAAAAGGCCCCCAAAGCATTGAAGAGCGGCTTCTCTTTATGAAGCCGGGGAGAAGGCGGGCGATAAAGATCTGGCGTTTAAATTGGCCATTTGGAAGATTACATCTCTTCAGCGAGGGTCTTTCTTTCAAAACTCGCACTGAATTAAGGGTCATGGCTACTCCGTACCCGGCTCTCAAAGGCACGGCACCTTTGAATTCGGCCGTGGAGTGGCCTGGGCGAGGGGACCCGGGGCCATCAAAGGCCCGAGGGAAGGCCGTGGGGCGACACCCGTCTAATGACAAGTAATTGACGGATTCGACGCCGCGCATTACCAGCGGAACGGGAGGCATTAATTATTTAAAAACGATTAGCCTTGTCGTGTGTCCTGCAGGCGTTCCATCATGTTCAGGGAAGATAACCAGCCACGCAAGGCGAGCCAGGGCTGGAAGGGCGGCGGGCGCGCTCCCCAGCAGACTTCGGGTGCGGTGGACACGGGCGCACAGCCCAAGGCACCAGGGAAAGAGAGGAGGGGCCACCCAGGGTCCCCACACAGGAAGGTGACTACATAACACTGACCCTGCTTAACAACGAAACAGATTTCTGCCCACTTGGGCTCGAAGTCTGGTGACTGCGGTGCACATGGGAAAAGCTTTCCGGTCGGGGTGGTGGGCAATTTCCATGTACCAGTTCCCTGTCGCGTCAGACCAAAACCCAGAGTAACCGAGTCAGGCACGGGCCTGTCACAGTGCCTACTACCCAGGCGTTTAAAGTAAAGACCCCAGGTAGATTGTGGATCTGGCGTGGGGGCGGGGATGGGGGGTGCTGGTAGACACCTGGGGAAACACACCTTTATCATGCCCTGCTCTCGAAAACCGAGAGTCCTGAGGTTTCAAGGGGCAGCAGCAGAACTACTATTTTTCCGAGGTCCACGCCTTTCCCCAGGCGGAGGAAAGATGTGGCTGGTTCTGTTGTGTCCTACGAACTCGCGTCCTCCGGAACCGCAGAGGGCAAGCCCGGCATGCGCAAGCGTGCTCCTGCCCGTGGACGGGGGGAAATCGGCGACTGGGTTGCAGGGAGAATGGGATGATAAATGGCCCCGCGTCTGCTTTCTGACTTTCTCTCCTGGACCCAGCTCGTAACCCCAGAGGCTCCCCAACCTGCTTGCAGCCAAGCACACCGGTGCGCAAAGGCCACCAGCCGCTTCCTGCAGTCAGAGTTGAGGTTCACTCGCATCTTGGAAAGGCGCGGCCCCTCCCCTGCTGCTGTTTGATGCCGACCCCCACCGTCTCCTCGGCCTGCCGGTGTCCGAGAAAGAGTTGAGACTGGACTCAAACCCCTGCACGCCAAGAGGAGGGTGTCACCACGCTCGGGCCTCAGCCTCTTCAGACTCCCATGCACCACGCACATCGTTTTCTGCTGACCCCCACCCTAGATTCTGAGGCCAAGGGGGTTCCCCACACTCCACCCTCCACTCTTCTCCGGAAACACGCTGCTCTCAGATCAAATCCCCAGACCCGAGCTCTTCGAGGGGCCTGTGTGGCTTCCTCTGGGCCCTACCAAACTGCTCTGAGCTCAGAGCCTAATTGGTCTGAGTTCGCAACTCTACGACCCCTCATCCTTCCAAGTCATGCACTTTCCGAACCCCCTGCAAAAAAACCCAACCCCTTGAGTCTCCGTTGGCTGAGCTTACCACCAGCCAAGCCCGCCCCAGAGGCTGAGCCCTGGAAGGGAGAAGGACTGGCTGGGGGAGGGGCAGTGCGCGGACAGGAGTGGGGTGCGGACGGTGAGGAGGGGAGCCGGGCGCAGCCCTCGGGTGGGCGCGCTCCCTACCTGCGGCGGCCGGCGGGCAGGCAGGCGGGCGGGCGGGCCGCGGAGCGTCCAGCGCGCGGAGGGAGGAGGAAGACTGCTCCGAGCCGAGGCATCCCCGCATTTATTTGAGCTCAAACCAAGCGACTGTTGACTTTAGCACACAAAGCAAAGATTTCACTGCCCGCTAGTTTAAAAATGAATATTTTACCAAGATATCGATCAGCGTTATAAAATTCAGTTAAGTACAATGGGATCCTGGCAAAAAAAAAAAAAAAAAAGAATAATAAAGGAGGGGGAGGCAATATAATATCTGTGCAAATTTGCTGAAGTGTGACGTGGCATGGAAAGTTTACCCTCCTGGAATTCGGATCTAGAATGTTTTTTTCAGTTGTTTACAGACTTTGTTTATTCACAGATCATGGTTGCTTAAACCGGCGCGCGGAAGGCGTGGGGAAAAAAGGAAAAAAAGGAGGGGGGAGAGCCTCTGCACCCCACAATGCGTAGAGTCGGGGAAAGCGCGCAGAGGCGATTTGTGAGCTCGTAAGCTCGGAACCCGGGCTAGGGGAGGGATTTAAGCGGGAGGGGGGCGTGAAAGACACAAGAAGCCCAGAAAAGCCTCCGAAAGCGCCTGCTCCCCGACATCCTTTTTATGTATTCGGACAGAACTATATCTTATCGGCCGGGATCAGTGAAGGGGGGCGCGCTAAGTAGTTTAAAACGACCCTCGCACAATGGGCGTGCCATACGAAACATAGCAGGTTAGGGCAGCGCTTTCAGCCTCCATTGTCCCCCACTCGGCCCCCGGCCCTGCCTCTCGGCTCCTTCGCCACGGGAGCCTTTTATGTGATAATGAAACACATTTCAGGCCGGGCTCACGACGTGTGTGTCCTTGCTAGGGGGAGAGACGGCCTGATTGCTGGCTGTGGCCTCCGGATCCCCCCCTCCCCAATTTCTCTTCCTTGTGTTCTTTGGGACAATGTGGCATGTTAAGAAAGGGATTTGGAGGCGGGAGGGGGGCAGTGGGGTGGGGGGGAAGCGGAGGCAATGCCAACCCCCCCTCAAGCGCGTGGGAAGGCCAGGCTTGTTGGGGATGACGGCGGGGTGGGGGATGGGGTGGCAAAGACCCTAGCAAGGTAGCAAGCAAAGCCAGTCTCCAGGTCTGGGGCGTAGCTGGGACACTCCAGGTTTGGATGGCCAAGAAGCCCAAAGTTCTAATCTTGAAGAAAGGAGCCTGAACTTAGAAACCTGAGGCAGAAAGTCCTCCAGGCTTTCAGAGTGTTTTTACCCACCGCAAGCTAACTGCGCACGGGAGTGGCTCCCGAGTCTGCCGAACCCGCTACGACACTGATCCTGCCCTCGCCCAGCCGGCAGATGTCCTGGGCAAAACCAGCACCAGGCTCTTCTTTGCGCTCTCGGGCTTGGTTTTCACTGCCGTTGGCCGCCCTTTTAGGCCAGCGAGGTCGTCTGTGGGGAGAGGCAGCATGGTGTATAAGAATTCATTCTGGGATTTTTCGTTATATTTTAGAGAGTCCTTGAAGGCTCACAAAATACCTGCATATCCCCTGGGCCCTGCAAACCTGGGTTGCTAACCTTACCTAACTTACAAGAAGCTTTGCAAGGGCGAGTTTTGGAGGGAGATGGGGAGCAAATTTGCCGACAGTGGCATCTCCACTACTGTCATGGTCGATTGGACAGACACCCCTTACCTCCTCCTCACTCCCAAATATACCCTATTTTTTAAAAAACAGACTTGGATTGTTACCCTGATTTATCCTTTCAAACCAATTCCAGGATAAGGTCTTCTGTTTCCCTACACCAAGTGTCTTGCCATTTCTGGGTTAGCAAGGTCTTTCTGGCTTAGCAAGGTCTGCCATTGTTGTGCGCAATACCTGCTTGGGGAGAAGGGTGGGAAAGGGTGGCGGCCTGTATACAGAGGAGGTTGGAAGATCCAGGCAGAGTCCCAATTCCACCACTATTCACAGTGGTGAACAGGCAAAGTGCTGCACCACAAATTTGCAAGTTTGATCCAGGCTCACTGACCTGAAGGGAGGCCCAAGATCGGAAGTACAGCAAAAACATGAAATCCAGGCTTCCCCCAAGAGAAGCCAGCTGTGGGGCCCAAGAGACCGCAACAACACGGCACATTCAAACAGCCAAGGTGGAAAATAGTGATATGTGGAGAGTTATCTTCTACTGGCGTTAAAAATAAACCTACTGGAATGGTCTGCCTGGGATCTGTGTATTTCATAGTGTGTAAAGTTAACCCACAAATTCAAAAAGTAACCATAGACCATATGAATTCCATTTAATAATGTACTTGCTTTAGTGTTTACGGGGATGTATACTGGTATCTGCAAATTTGAAGTGGATTTAGAGAAATAAGATGGATTGACCAATGGAGGGGAGGATGGACAAGCATGTGATAAAGCAAATATAATGAAATGTTAATTGCAGAATTTCGGGAGCACGGTCCATGTGTGCCTACTGTAAAATTCATCCAATTTTGGTATGTCTGAAAATTTTAATAATAAACTGTTGGGAAAACAGCAACACTCCCTGGACCAAAATAAAATACAACCTGCAACCAGTCAGGGTATCCCTCCCTCCTTCTTGAAATAATTTCCAAGTTTGTATATTTTTTGAGCCAAGTGAAGAAAAGAAAACTCTGGAAGAAAAGATTCAAGGGATGAAACCGGGTATAACACTTTAATATAGATTTGTGGAACTCTGGCCCTTGCAGCCAGAATACACATTTATAAGCCATAAATAAAGCACGCAGAAACCATAAATTAATCAGACCCGAGACCTGGATTTCACCGTGTCAAGATTGGGAATGCATTTCTTTTCTTTTTCTTGGTCATTTACAACAGACCCTTACATTATTTTTTTCCTGTTTTTAAACAATAGTACAACCCTCTGGTTCTGTTAAAACTACATGGTTTTACACCGAGTCACTCACAAAAGTTTTTTTTCTTTTTTTTTTTTTTAAGTAAGACTTCCCTGCAACAACAGCAATGGAGGAGAACAACAACAACAACAAAAAATCAGAATCTGCAGGTGCTTGAAGAAGCAGGAGTCTTTACACAGTAGTGGCAACCGGAGGCTTTTTTTTTTTTTTTTTTTTTTTGATTTTATATTCTTTCCCGTTTTCCTCGTTATATAGAACGTGGGGTATCAAGTGTGACCCTCTGTTTGGGACAAAAGGGCTGCAGCGGGTGAGGGGAGACTGCTGTCTTGGGGGTGTTGGGGTGGGGTTGTTATTGATTTCTTCTCCCTTTCGTCTCTGCAACACCGTCTCCCCAAAGTCTCGACCCCCACTTGCTCTCTCGCTTATCCTGGATCCGGGCTGCCAGAGTCATCCGGGCCTGAAGCCATCGTCTTCTTAAGAGGAGTTCATAATGGGCCGGGAGTACACCCCCTGGTAGTAAGAGGTATCTGCGGCCAGGGGCGAAGCGTCCAGGCCCGTTTTGTTCGTGACCGGGCCCATGGCCAAGCTGCCAGGCATGGGGGAACCGTAGCCGGGGTAGTGCATCACCTGTTCGTAGGCCTTGAGGTCCATTTTGTGGGGTTGGTGGTGGTGGTGGCTGTGGTGGTGCTGCTGCTCCGAGGACATGAGGTTGTTGATGGAGAACGGGTGGTTGAAGGCGTAGTGGTGCTCCGGCTTCAGGTGGGCCTCAGGTGGCAGGCCTGGGTGGTGGGGCGGGCCCAGCAGGTGGGCCGCGGCCTGCTGCTGCTGCCCGGGAGAGGGCGCCGGCTCTGGGGGGCTCAGTGCTGCAGCAGGCGTCCCCTTCATCTCTCCCAGGCCCCCTCGCTTGTGCTCCTGGCACGGGGAGGCGCTCGAGTGAGGCGACTCGGTGCCAGCCGGAGTCTCGGAGGCCGGCCCGGCGGCCTCCCCGAGTTGAGCCTGCGAGGCCTGGGCCCCGGCGGCCGCCTTCTTGCCGCTGCCCGCGGCACCTGCGGCCTCCTTCAGCGCCAGCTGCTTCTCGCACTTGAAGCGCTTCTGGCGGCGCAGGTAGCAGCCGTTCTCGAACATGTTGCCCGAGTCAGGGTGCAGGGTCCAGAAGGAGCCCTTGCCGGGCTTGTCCGGAGAGCGGGGCACCTTCAGGAAGCAGTCGTTGAAGGAGAGCGAGTGGCGAATGGAGTTCTGCCAGCGCTGCTGGTTCTGCCGGTAGAAGGGGAAGAGGTCCATGATCCACTGGTAGATCTCGCTCAGTGTCAGCATCTTGTTGGGGCTCTGCTGGATGGCCATGGTGATGAGCGAGATGTACGAGTAGGGAGGCTTTGCGTGCGTGTAGCTGCGCCGGTAGGTCTTGGGGTCGCGCGCGCGGCTCAGGCCCGCCTGCCCGTACATGGGGCTCATGGAGTTCATGTTGGCGTAGGGGGCCAGGCCGCCCATGGCCCCGGCCGCCTGCCCCCCGAGCGGGCTCAGGCTGGGACTCAAGTGCGGCCCCATGCCCGCCACGCCGGCCGCCCCGGCCGAGGCGCCCATGCCCGCCATGGCGCCCGCGCCGGGGGACATGCCCGCCAGGGACGGGCTCATGCCTGTGCCGACGTACGACGACATGTTCATGGAGCCCGCGCTCATGTTGCCCGAGCCGCTGCCCATGGCGGCCGCCGACATGCTCATGTACGTGTTCATGCCGTTCATCCCCAGGCCGGCGTTCATGTTGCTCACGGAGGAGTAGCCCTGCGGACAGAGCCCCGGGAGGGAGGCGACAGCGTTAGCACCGCGGCTCGAGGGTGCCCAGATCTCCCACCCACCGCCCAGGCCTCCGCCTCCGAGGAGGCCTCCGGGGAGCCCTTTCCTCCCTTGTGGCCCAGTTTCCGGACTCCTTGTCTGTTTCATCCAGGGAGAGCCATGATCGATCACCCTTGGGAAGGTGGAGAGCGGATTGCTGCTTGGGTATGTGGCCCGTTCCTAGCCCTTCTCCACCTCGCCCAGATTCTAGAACAGGGGTCCCATGGAGTATTCCCAAACCAGAACCCCAAATGTATTTCCCTGCCCCAGAGTCTCCCCAAACTCTCCTACCAGCATACTGAGCTGGCGCCGAGGCCCGAAGTCCCCGGACGCCACCTTCGGTCGCAGCAAACAACCTGCGGGACACCTCGCGGGGCGCCTCAGGCTGCCTCCAGTGAAGACTGTCCCTGATCCCCTCTGTC